ATCTCCATTGCTGGTCAGCTTTTATCGTTGTGCCCAAGATGTGCCCAAGATGGCGCCCTGGCCGCCAGTGAGCCTCACTGAAGTTTGGTCAAGGACAGCATCTCCGTTGCTGGTCAGCTTTTATCCCTGGATGCACCTGCTGCTCTGTTTCTGCGTCTCTGGTGCCCTGCCTAGAACTGCGTCACAGTCTAGCTCAAGCTGTTGAGTGGTAAAGCTGTTTTCTTACTCTGTGTCTGTGAGTTTTCTGGGTAGTAGGAGGCTGTGTTTCTGGTAATCTCCCTGGCGTCTACCAGGTAAGCACACTTGGTACCACACAAACTGCTCTGAGAGGGGGGCTCCGGACACAGCGGGAACCCTGTTTATCGTCATTCCTTTTCTAACTGGGGTTGTATTTTTCCAACCTTTGTGCTACTCCCTTTAAATTCTAACTTTTTTTGGTTTTGTTTTGTTTTGTAGTTTTTGGCTGGGGCTGGATTTGAACCCACCACCTCTGGCATATGGGGCCGGCACCCTACTCCTTTGAGCCACAGGCGCTGCCCTAACTTTTTTTTTTTTAAAAACTAGATTTGGTTACCTCTTCATTCTCTATAAAGCAGGAATTACAGTCAGATTCCTGCGGGACCTGTACAGGATGAGGGAGTGAATACCCAGGCCGGCAGCTGTCTGCTTTAGTCCCATTTCTTCAAGAGAAGCCAGAAATCTGCATTTTCTTTTTCTTTGAGACAGAGCCTCAAGCTATCACCTGGGTAGAGTGCTGTGCCGTCACAGGTCACAGCAACCTCAAACTCCTGGGTTTAAGCGATCCTCTTGCCTCAGCCTCCCGAGTAGCTGGGACTACAGGCACCCGCCACGACACACAGCTACTTTTTCATTGTAGTTATTGTTGTTTGGCAGGCCCAGGCTGGATTCAAACCCACCAGCTCTGGTGTATGTGGCTGGTGCCTTAGCTGCTTAAGCTATAGGCGCCACCAGAAATCTGAATTTTCATGTGAATTTCCTACTTTATAAGAAAGAAATAGTGGTTGGGCAAAACAACACATCTGGAGGCTGCTAGTTTTATGCCCTAATTTACTAATAAATATGTAGTTATTGTAAATTCATTCAAGGAGCCACATCTGGGGCCCGGCTGCCACCTTTCACAGGGGTTGGGTTATTTCACAATACTTCTGTTATTATTTTAGTATTTCAGTTCTTATAGGTAAAAACCCTTGCTCAATAAACTTAATCTGTCAGAGACCGTTCTTGTCCCCCTGCTCTCACAGAGGGAATGTGTGTGGCCCTGGCCAAGCCCCCTCATGCTGCTCTCCCCTGGGGTCTCCCATCCTTCAGCTGCCCCCAGAGCCTCCCACGCCTTTCCTTGCCCACTGCTGCTGGGTCAGCCACCCTCATCTCTTACTGGGATTAGTCTTAGAAAACCCTCCAACCTTCTGATCTGGGTTTGCCACTCGTTCTAAGCACAGCTTTACTGGATAGAGCAGTGCTCGTTTGTTTCTGTGGGTCTGTGGCTGTCTTCACACTGCAAGGGTGGAGTTACGTGACTGTGTCAGAGGCCACGTGACCTGAAAGCCTGAGATAGTTATCATCAGGCTGGTTACAGAAAGAGCCATTCTCCAGCCCAGAGCTGCACTCAGCTTTCTAACAATGTGTCACACGCCCACTTGTCATCGCTCATGGTCGTAAGGAGACCCCGTCTCCCTCCTTGCTTGGCTGCCCACTTTGTCCTTAATGCCCATCGTCCTCACTGGAGGAAGCACAGGTCTCATTACCTGTCATGTCCCTGCGATGCAGGTAGGTAGGAGACCTTTGTGTCCTGAGCAGCTGCTATTGTGTCCCCTCACGTGTGCCCCAGGTGCCCGTCTACTGCGCCAAGACAGGCGTCAAACACTTGCACCACAAGGCCCAGGAGTTCGACATTGGAGTGTACTTTGAGGCCAACGGACACGGCACGGTGAGTTTTCCCAGCACTTGTCCCGCCCTTCACTGGTGCTTTGGTGGAGGGACGAGACGCCCGGGGTGGCAGGCAGCATTCTGCTGTGTTGAGACGGCTGGATGGGGAGAGGGGACTGTCATTACCTTATGTATCCTGGTATGTTACAAAAACCATGGTTTTCTTTTGAATTGTTATGATTGTACCTTGAATTTGAAGAGATATACTAATTTTTTTCATAATTTGAGTGTTTTTTTCCAAGTAGATTGTGGATTCTTCAACTGGCTTTAGGCAGGAGTAGGGGAAGTTCAGTAGCTGTGGTAAAGTGAACAGTGTGGAAAGTTAATGAACAGGAGGAAGTGGGTTGAAGTTAACTAGTGATAAGCAGAGCAAGTATGTCACAGCCTTCTTGGCTGATAGAATATTTAAAACATTTTGAGACATAATTTACATAATGTTAAATGTAAAATGTAAATGTAAAATGTAATGTTAAATGTAAGTTTATGTAAAATTACATTTTAAGTGTATAATTAAGTGGGTTTTAGTAGATTGATACTACACCTCATTTCATAAGTAGACTTGAGGTGGCCGACAGAAAATTGCATTGAGGCCAGATTTTCCAATTAATTCAAAATTGGCTTCTGGAGGCTATAACTATAAAAAGGTGGAAAGTAATAAGTTCCTATAAAATACAATTAAAATATAATTCCAGTGATCTACTGAAGAGGTAGGTAGATGGTATTTTAAAGGGCATAGTAGTAAATATTTCAGACTCAGCAGGCTATAAGGTCTCCATTTCAATGGCTTAACTCTGCTAGTGTGGCAGAAATGAGTGGGTGTGGCTATGTTCCAGTAAAACTTTATAATGACAAGGCACCGAACTTGGTGTGGTGGCTTAGGCCTGTAAGTCCAGCATTTGGGAGTCTGAGGAAGGAGGATTGCTTGAACCCAGGAATTCAAGGTTACAGTGAGCTACGATTGATCCACTGTATTCCAGTATGACAGAGTGAGACATTGGAGTGTACTTTGAGGCCAACGGACACGGCACGGTGACAGAGTGAGACATTGTCTCAAAAAGCAAAACAAAACAAAACCAACCTGCCTCCCCAGTAGGTGACCAGCCTGTATCTTATTTTATCAACAAAAGTAAAGAATGTGTTTCCTTAGGTAGCTGAACACAGTGTGCCAGTCCTCCTCAGGTTGGGCCTCCAGAGGGCCAGAGAAAGAAGGCTGAGGCATTTGCAAATGGCACGCCCATCTCTAGGAACTGGCGTGCACGTACACTGTTTGCCCTACTTTGACAAATATGGATGCTCTTTCTAGTTTTGCGTAGCTCATGCCCTTAAGTTTTAGGGCCATAAAATTGTACTAGTTGCAATAAATTCTGTCCTTCAAAGTAAAAAAGATAGTCTTAAGTAACCTGGTCACACAGAACTGATTTAGCTGCTCACAAGACAGTAAGAGTTCACGGTCCATACTCAGCCATTGTCAAGATGCTGTTTTCTTTGTAACCTGCTGTTTAAATTTTGATAACTGGTTATATGATCTGCAGAGAAACTTCTTCCCCTAGTAATACAGTTTGGGTTCTGATTTGATCACAGCCTGGTTTCATATACTGTAAGGCTGTCACTATTTCCCCCTTGGGAAAAGGGGTCCAGCTGGAATGACAGTACTTGTGATGGGGCCTGGGTGGTGTTTTGAGAGTGATGATGAGTGCTTCTGTGCAGGTACTGTTCAGCACAAGTGTTGAAACAAAGATAAAACAACTAGCGGAAGAGCTAGAAGATGAGAAGAGAAAAGCTGCGAAGATACTTGGAAACATGATTGACTTGTTTAACCAGGTGAGAGCTGGTGGTGGGAAGCCTGGCTGCACCGTGTCCAGAAGGTGCACAGCAGGGCACGCACTGTGTGTGGCCCTCTGTGACGAGAGCGGCTCACTCCTTCTCTATGTCCTGTGTGTTCTGATTTTTTTCTAAACACAGTATTAATTTTTAATTACAAGCAGTTAATCAAAGGACAAAACCATGGAATTGGAGAAGCCTTGGTGCCTTCCTTAGCGCAGTGGCGTGTCAGTTGGCGTCCACGCTGAAGTGAACGACAGGGCACCTTTGCCCCTTTCCCGGCGTTTGGTACTGAGTAGCCTAGAATCAGAAGTGCAGCTAAGCAAAGTGTCGCTAGGTGTATGTATTTTAACCCATCTGTCTCAAGGAAATTAACTAAAAATAATTGGTTTTCTCTTTCACAGAGGACAAGTGTTCAGGGTCAGACAGCTGGGATTAAGGGCAGGATGGCTGTGGAAAACAGCATTCAGGACCGAGAGGCAGCTGGACAGGACAGAGCTGGACACGTGCTGGGCAGTCTGCACACGGTGTCCTCTCACCCCTCAGTGACACAGCGAGAGGGCTCATTTCACTTCCCCCTTTTAATGAAGAAACAAAGGCTAAGGGCTGCTGACTGGCAGTGTTCAGGTGCACCTCACACCAAAGTTCCTTCTCCTTGTTACCACGATGCTTGTCTCGGAAGGATCTGTCTGCATCTGTTCATCCACAGAAATGCTTCCTTTAACAATGCTGCCTGGGGTCAAGGCAAAGGGCAGCAGGAAAAGCTCAGGGCCCTCATCCAAAATGACTGGGACCAGAACTGTTGTAGATTCTGGATTTTTCTGATTTTGGAATATTTGCATATACACAGGGAGATATTTTGGGGAATGACACCCAAGCTTAAACATGAAATTCACTTGCATTTCATGTATACCTTACATACCATCAAGATAATTTTATACATTTTTTTTTTGGAGAGGCAGGGTCTTGCGCTCCGTTAACCAGGCTAGAGTATAGTGGTATGATCAGAGCTCACTGCAGCCTCAACTCTTGGGCTTAAGTGATCCTCCTGTCTCAGCCTCTTGAGTAGCTGGGACTATAGGCATGTACCAATGTGCCCAACTCAATTTCTTGGTTTTAGAGAAGGGTTCCTTGCTCAGGCTAGTCTCCGGCCCCTGGCCTCAAGCCACCTTCCACCCCAGCCTTCCAAGTTGCTGAGATCACAGGCATGAGCCATGAGCCACCATACCCGGTTATTCTTAATTTTATGTATGAGACAATATTTGTCTATAGTGAACCATCAGAAAGAAAAGAAGTCATTATGTCATCCTTTCTTGTGGGCAATTTATGGTTGTTCGGCATTACCACCATCCATGACTGAATTTATATGCTACTCATAAGCATTTTCTTATACTGATTCATGCAAAAACATACATACCTGGATGCATGGGGGAGGGTCGATTGCAGCTGAAGGTGGCTGGGTCATTCTTCCCTACGGAGCCCATTTTTTTTTTCTTTTAAGACATGGGGTCTTGCTCTGTTGCCCAGGCTGGAGTATGTTGGCTACTCACAGGCACAGTCGTAGTACACTATAGCCTTGCACTCCTGGCCATAAGTGGCCCTCCCACCACAGCCACCTACAGGCTCTTGTGTGCCTGCATTTTGACTATGACCTGCCACAGGAGGTCACACACGGAATTTTCCACTTGTGACTTCATGTTGAGACACAAAACAGTTTGGATTTGTGGAGAAGCTCAACCTGTACTCTGTAAAGACAGCATTCCCATCCGCAAGCTGCTTGCTGAGAGTGGCGTCTCATGTCGTGTCCCCTAGGCGGCCGGCGATGCCATTTCCGACATGCTGGTGGTCGAGGCCATCTTGGCTCTGAAGGGCTGGACCGTGCAGCAGTGGGACGCGCTCTACACAGACCTTCCAAACAGACAGCTCAAAGTTAAGGTGCGTACGAGGCTTCAGAGTAACGTTTCTGAATATCACCTAAGACCTGTTATCTCACTGAAAGTATTTCCTAAGTATGTTCTATTTCACTTCATACATACACAATATATGGAAAATAAGGGTAATAGCCAAGTATCTGGTTTCCAACTTTATTGTAATGATACAGTCTTCTTTAAAAAAAAAAGATTCTATTATGGAAAATTTAGAACATAAATGTAGAGAGAACAAAACAGTGAACTGCAACGTACCAGCTTCCACGGGCTGTAGCTGAGCCTTCCTCGTTCTCCGTACCTTCTCCCTGCAAAACCCACTTCAAGTGAAAGCACTGCCTCTGTTAGTTTTGGCTCTCAGAGCCCTTCCTGAGGCAGGTGCTAAGAAGTGAGACAGAATGTTCTTAAAAGGCATTTCAGATGAATTGCTAACAGACTCCGGTGCAGGTGTGTTCCAGCTGACACACTCAGAGTCCAATGGTGACAGACCATTAGAGACCCTGACTCGGAGTTCACAGGAAGGGCTGTGAGCGCTCGGGTTAGTTTGCAGCATATTTAGAAGATTCTTATCACAGTCCTCTTACAAATGTACCTACTTCTGTTACTTAAAATAGCTAAAATGATTTATTTGATCAGTGACTACCAAGGCCCATGGTATGGGCATGATGGTGAATTCAGCCACATGGCACTTCCTGGCTGTTACTTTACTGGTAAATGTAAGACTACAGAAATATCTTT